CATTACTGAAAATGTTTCAGTGTACCCTGAAAGATTAAGGACAAGGTTGCCATGAACACTGAGGTGGAATAATTTGATTCAGAATGGATTCTAACATGAAATTTTTTGGAAAAAGCACTCCTTAAACAAGAAATAACTCATTATTTTGCAACAGAGACACACCAGATTGGCAATTAGCTGGCCAAGGTTGTTCTATGTACATAGTGTTTTACCACATGCAAATGTCTGCTTTCTGGCAAATCTGATGCTCAATTCGACTAATCTAATAAACTTCAAAAGTGCAAAATAACAAAATCAATAAAAGTGAAGCTGAGTTGTCATAAGACATTTCTGCAAACTTCATTGTGCATCAATACCCTTTTGTGAATGTTGCCACGTATCACGGACATTATCACCATCAGCAACTGAGCTTCAAAACAAATGTCAAAGTTCCTCAGTCAAAGAAAGCAACAATGAGTTCAAGAGTTGAAATTTAATCTCAGGGTGTTTATAAACCCACTCGAATTTTGGTTTCACTATTTAATCAGTCATCCGATTTCCCCATGATTATATTATAGCCTTGAATATTTATATCTAGTATGCATGTACAGTATCAAGTTTTAATAAGATATTTGTAAAATTATGTTCATTTGATATTTATTTCACATTATTAAATATAACAAACTGAAAATACAAACCAGGCAGACGTACCAAGACAAAGCTTCTCAATTAAACTGTGAAAGAATAAAGGACAGCTTAGCCCTTTTCTGCCTCCATTCTCTCCCTGGAGCTTCAAAGAGAAGTGGGTTCATTACATATACCGTTGCTCTTAATTACTATGGAGCCTAACTTGAAGATGTTCAGGACATCACTTTAAGTCACAACAGGATAGACTGGCTAAATGACTTCAGAACATAGAAAGCCGAGTCTTTTTAAAAACACAAATATTGTCTTTGCTGTTGAACGTCAACCACAATCAAGCCCGTCCGATTGTAATTTTGGGAAAAGACAATGATTTTAGGATTTCATAAAGAACATTTATAAGTATAGTTGATACTTCTAAATGTGCTTGAACATTAATTTTAATTTCAGCGCCTTGGGACGTCCTCCTGACGTGAAAGGCGCTTTATAAATGGAATCTTGTTGTTGTTGTTGTACATAGATACATTTTGAGAAGTAGACATAGATTTCCCCCTGCATTTTGATAAGTATGCATACATTTCCTCTGCCATTATCAGTTCTTACTTTGTTTGTGTTGTTATTGGCACATTGATGCCTCCCACATGCGTCTCACTATTAGCAAAATGTTTCCCTTGATCCCTATGGCAGTTTTACTGAGTTGTCCTCAGGAGATATTCACCACTAGCAAAATGTTCTCTCTGCCCTTCTTTACACAGATACAGATTGCAGAAGAATGCTGTGCTCGTGGGGGTAGGAACAGTGATTTTCTATAACAGTTTTTGCACAAATGAAGAATAAGCAAATCCTAAATTCAAATGTGTTGGTTCAGGCACCTCTCACACGCATGGATAAAAGTGTAAATATATGCAGGTAGTCAGAAGAAACTCTCAAGTATTGCAAGGTAACAGAAGGGTTGACCTCAAGGAAATAAATGAGGGTCTAATTTTTTTTAGAAACTCCACAAATATTAAAGCTGTACCCAAGTATGGGATTGAGATGTGACTCTGGATATTACAGTCCAATTAGGTCAACATCTGATGTGGGATTGCTTAAGAGCATTATACAGAAAGCTATCAATGTTCATTTCAAAAACAGACCCACTATAATACCGTGCTTATACTTCTAGGAGCAAATCTGTCTGACAGTCCAAAAAATCTATACAGAGCATATTTAATTTTTTAAATATGTTTTATGATTTCTGTTCTTTTCCTTGTGGGCGCTCTGATAACCTTGTAGAAATCTTGTAAAATAAGATCACTGATTTATAAAAAAAAGTTCAACAATTTTACAAGCCTGTCAATGCAGCCACAAGGAACACAGCAATCAAAAGAATGCAGAATGAGAGAAAGCCTGCAACTCTCGTACACTACTCATGTACTCACACTACTTTCACCTACTCCATCTCCGCCTCATCCTCTCCCTTGCCTCCTTCAAGACCCATCTCAAGATCCTCTTCTTCGACGCGTGCTTTCAATCACTCTGCTTCCCCCCTGCCCTCCACCCTCCCCAATCCCGACCCCCAGCTCGGGTCCGAAACTCTGACTGTCCAGGGTCTTGGGATGTCCTCTGGACGTGAAAGACGCTATACAAATGTAATTTTGTTTTTGTCCACGTCACCCACTTAAATCTTTGGGGGTAATTTATGGATAAATACTCCCCAATCCCCAAAGCTAATCAAATAGAAACTCCAGAATAGTAATTTATCCCCACATCGCAATTCAAACCTGGCCTACTTCCCTTCACAGAAAACATCCTTCCAAGCCTCTCTTGGTCCCACTATCTCAGAAACTATCATGCCTCTTATAGGATTTGATCTTCTGTCTGTAGCTATCGTGAGTAATAACTGCCTATAAACGGCAATTCATCCTGTAATGAGTTAAACCAATGTAATTTTGAGAAAGAAAAAGAAAATCCTTCAAGCAGCAGATAATGAAAATTTGAGTGGATTCCCCTCAGGGTCACGGGAAACATTATTGCTGCAAAACTACAAATATCCAGATGGGCAGATTTAGGAAAAGCAGCTGAAATCCTTTAAAAGTAGACCAATTCTCTGCTAAAATCAGAAAGATTTTAGTGTACAGAATACTCAGGATTGATTAAAGCTGCAGGACTGTGCAAGTAACACAGAATAGATGTCAAAATGATCTAAAGATACAGCCTTGCACCACTTCATCTGATACAAGCCTAAATTAAGATTTCAGTGAAATGCTTCCCATCTTTCACATTAAATCAATATCTTTTCATTTTTGGGGTTGACAAGTGAGTAGCTATGTTACATTTTATGCTAAAGAACAAATCAATCTCAAAAGCTCAAAATGTACTTTCGTCCCCAAGTAGATACCAAAGACCTTGTGCTGCTCTGCAACACCTCATAATTATAGAGGGTGTCCAAAAAGTTGTGATACCATTACAATGTCTAATAAGTCTTAAAGAAATTATATTACTTTTTTTCCAATAATAGGGTGGCTTCACAACTTTTTGGTCACCCTGTATTTGTACCACATGTAGAAAAAGGTTAGATAATTATTTGGAAAGAATAAGATTGCAGGGCTATGGGGAGCGAGCGGGAGAGTAGGATTGAATTGGATAGCTCTCTTCAAAGAGCTGGCACAGACCCGATGGGCCGAATGGCCTCCTTCTTTGTTGTATAATTCTATGATTCTATGAAGGTTAAGGGAGCCTGTCTCTGGGAAAAAAAATAATAGATTGAGTATGCCACTTGCTGTGTGGTCCAATCAATATCTATGGCTTTAAATTTCATTAGGGTCTGTCCTCCAGCTACAGTAGATATATTCAAAATTCTGCAGTAGGTTTTGACACCGTTATCACATTTTAGAAATAATTCCTCTGGTCCCAAAATAGAAACACGTAGTCAAGGCAATTTAACTGCAAACGGTTTGTTGTTTTACACACAGGCTGTTTTCAGAACCCAGTCAAAAAGACCTTGAAAATCTGGAGGCCCCTAAGGCCTAAAGAAAAAGATGAAAATCAATACAACACTGGGTTTGAACCCTTGATTTCTCACACAATACATTTTCAATATCACTGTGCCATTGTGAGGAGATAATAGAGAGAGGCCAGTGCTTTTCCATAAGGAGTTTGGAAGGTGAGAGTAAAAAAAGAATTAGTCTACCTGGGTTGCTCTTGTGCACCACCTAGTGGCCTCAGAAACTTGAGGGAATTAAGGAAATAAAAGCAACAAATATAAACAAAAGACATTTACACAGTGCCAAATTGTACCATTTTTACCATGACAGTCGACTGCTCATCAAAATCTCAAATTAAATCAAAAAGTCAAATCTCTAAACTGACTACTTTCTCCTCGAGACCCGAAACCACGCATTCATCACATCCAAGCAAGACTGTGCCAACTCTGCTCTATCTGTCGCTTCCCTTCACAAGCTGCAAACTATCTAGTACTCCGTAGCTCGTGTGCTTTCCGATCCTAGGCTCCATGAGCCTATTACCCCATCCTCACTCAGCTCCACTGGTTCCTGATCCCCCAAAGGATCGAGCTTAAACTTCCGAAATCTAACCTTTAAATCTCTCCATGGCCTTGCTGCACCTTTCCTCTGCAACCTTCTCAAACCTTAACAACCTGGCTGCTCCCTCCACTCAATCTGCTTCACATCTCCCAGCCCACCATCAGCAGTCGGGCTTCCAATGTGTCTTCAACTCATCCCTTCGCTCACTTCCTTGTTTTTTGACCACACTTTCAGTCATCCACCCACTTGCCCAACCGTTTTGTCCCTACCCCCAGCTTGGGTACATACCCTGAACTGTCCAGCATCTTGGGACAGCCCCCCAATGTGAAAGGCACTATTATGAAGGTAAATTTGTATTGTAAAGTGGAATAATGGGTTTCTGTTGTTTAAAATACACTTGATTCATTTTTAATGTTTCTATATAATTGAAGCATTAAAGATCAATAACTCACAAAATTAATTACCAATTAAGATAGATTGCAGCCTCCTAGGGCTCCTAGGGCAGAAAACCAACCCTTTTTCTACCTTCATAATGAGAACACTACGTAACTTAGTGTGGACCATCCTCAGTACTGACTATCCTCTCCTCATATTAAGAAGAGTACATTTAAAAAATTGTGCTCATTCTATTCATATGACAAATGAATTAAATCTTGCACAAATTATACCACAAAGACCATCAGATTTTAAATTTCAACAACAACAGTCTCGGTCTATCACTGGATCTACCAGTGTATAATGAGAGTGATTTCACTTGCAAATAGGCTCGAAATTAACTGAGATTGAAACATTCTTTCTCAAGAGTAGAATAATTTTTTCTTCCAAACTACTTTTACTGTGAGCGGTAAATCATACCTTTGTAATTCATTGTTTCCATGATGATAATGTTCCTGCCCACTCCAACATGGATATCTCTTCCTCCAGAATCCTTGGTTCCTGCTTCCTCTCTCTGATCTGTCCAGATGAGTCATACTGTCACAAGCCTCTGCAAGAAAAAGCCATTTAAAAATAGGAATAACAAGCTGATAGATAAAAACTGCTGACTTATATTGTTTGTTTAGTAAAACAATGTTATTGTTTTTAGTAGGGGTGGATCACAGGTGCAATCTATTTTTTGTAAGAATACTACGATACTGTTTAGTTGATCAACACACAAAGTTTAAGTAATCGACACAACAACAAAAACTTGCAATTATACAGCACCCTTCAAGCAGGATAGCATCCCAGAGTGCTTAAATACATTAGCTGCTGGGTTGCCTACTCTTTGGCAATTATATTCAAATCAAGGTAAGTATTTTGGTGAAATAGAATATTTGTATACTATGGGATAAATTGTATTTGAAAAATTGTTCAATATATAACAGCAAACAATTAATTGCAATTCGATCTCAGAGAAATTATATTTAGTTCATAAACTATTTGGGCCATAATCTCAGGATTTATGGCATTTAATCACTCATTACTACACTGCATCACACGGCCAACCACACATTGTGAATATAGCAATCAAGCAGTTTGAAATCAAAAAACCACTTCAAGCACTCCAAATAACTAATGAGGGGACTGTAATTTACATTATCCCCAAAAGCACCTTGTGCCAGAAAATGGGCATTACCTCAGTCAGGAACAATAATCCGCAACACATTTGCAATTAATATAGGTATCACACAGGAATACTGAGGTGAAATATAAATCATGAAATATTAAAACAGTAATAATAATAATCCTTGCATTTGATATAGCGCCTTATCACGTCGTTGAGATGTCTCAAAGCGATTTAGTTGACTGAATCAAGTAGCCAGCAGTAATAGCAGTAATAACAGATTAGGTTTTAAAAGCTTGTAGAATGTAGGAAGAATGGAAGACTGAAGGAAGTGATGAGTTCCACAATTTTCAGTTTTTGGGAAAGAACATGTTAGGATACAAAACTATGAGTTTTTATTTCAACATAGTAAAGGCACAGGGATAAGGTCCAACAGGTCGTACACCAAATTTGGATCTTTGGGATCTGAGAGAAACATTTAGAGCAATAATGAGTATTCCAATATCAGAAAAACAGAGAACAAGATAATAGATTATTGAGAGAAGGCCAGAAATGAGAAAAAGCTGATTTTTGAGGTAACAAGCTTCTGCTTGATTTCCATTGTCCAGAAATTGAAGAGGGGTAATCGAGGACCCAAGATCACTCCCCTCTAGAAAGAATCATAGAATCATAGAATCGTACAGCACAAAAAGAGGCCATTCGGCCCATTGAGTCTGTGCCGGCTCTTTGAGAAGAGCAATGTAATGTCAATCTCACTCCCCAGCCCTTTCCCCATAACCCTGCAAACCCTCAAATACCCATCCACCGTGTTTTTAAAAGTAGTTATCGAATCAGCCTCCACCACCCTTTCAGGCAATGCATTCCGTATTCGAACAACTCGCTGTGTGAAAAACTTTCTTCTCACCTCCCCTCTGCTTCTTTTAGATACAATTTTGAATCTGTGACTTTGAGTCACCGACACACCCACTAGTGGAAATAGTTTTTCCCTTTCTAACCTATCAAATCCCCTCATGATTTTGAAGACCTCTATTAGGTCTTCTCGTAACCTTCTCTGCTCCAATGAGAATAATCCCAGCCTCACTAGCCTTTCCTCATAATCAAGGTCCCTCATTCCTGGTACCATTCTTGTAAATCTCCTCTGCACCCTTTCCAATACCTTAACATCCTTCCTGTAGTGTGGTGCCCAGAACTGGGCGCAATATTCTAACTGAGGCCTAACCAGTGTTTTATATAGGTTAATCATAACCTTCTGACTCTTGTACTCTATGCCCCTATTTATAAAGCCTAGTATCCCATATGCCTTTGTTACAGCTTGAAGACATGAAGATTATGGCTTAATTATTCAGAAACTACATTGCAAGACAAATGAAAGTTTATATATGTTAAGTGTACAAAACCTAAAATAATTTAATGAATGTAGAATGTAAAAAGAAAAAGATTCAAGTTGGATGATGAAGGAGGAACTTCAAACTGGGGATTGAACAAAACTGGAGAAGAGATTTTAGCATAGATGAAGTTATTTGAGAAGAAATTAGCTAGCTATTAACACATATTTGGTGGTGGATTATAAAATGCCATGTTTAAAAGTACACTGGCATGTTGACTGGTCAAAATCTTTGGAAATGACAAAAGGTGATGACAAAAGGTGCTCAAGACTTGAGTTCCAGAAGTGCACAGCATAAATAAAATGAAATTTGAGTTAGAGTTTCAGTAACTAGCTATATATATTTGATTCATTCCAGCAGGAATTTACCTATGCTCAAAACTGTTGGGTCTGATGCTGTACATATCATGCTGGCAAGTACGCTAGCTGTACTGGATCGGAGGATGCTTGTACACAGTCACAAAACCTTACACTTGAGAATTAAGTTTCACTAGCACTTTTCAGAGAATTCATCACAGCTACCTTTGGGAGGAAAAAATAATGCAAAGAAATCATTGGTTTATATCAGAAGAAAAAGTCATTTGACCTATTAGGTTGTGCTGTGCTGGTTGAGCTCTAATCTGGCACTTTAAGCCCATTCTCTTACTCTTTTCCCATACCCGTTAATGTCATTTATCATCAATAATCCCTCCATGTACTTATAAAATCATGTTATAGACTAAACTTCAACAAGCATTTGTGGTAAAACATTCCACTTTCTAAGCACCCTCTGCGTGTAAAAGCGCTTTAGTTAGTCCTCCCAACGTGAAAGGTGCTCTATGAATGTAATTTTGTTGTTGTTGTAAAAAATGCTGCATAGAGTGCAATGCAAAAATTACATGACAGATACACAAGTCAAAATAGAGTTAATTTAAAGGGTATAAATGTTTTTGCAGTGCAAATGCATCACAGAAGTCAACATTACTCATCCAAGATAGTAGCTTTTTTTCCCTAATTTCACAAACAATACTCTACATTGAATGAAACTGTCCACTTTGGTTCCCCCATGTGGGGAATAATGATTGCCTCTTTATGATGCTCATGAGATTAAGGGGCAGGTGGGAGAAATGTGGATATGAACCTCAGTGACATGGTGTGCTGAAGTAACCTATTAAACCAGCAAGTTTTCCCAATAGAACAATGTCAAGTACCACATTTTCCTCTACTCATCCTTCTCACACAGAGCCCCGCACTAATTGCGTGGGTTCTCTTAGCAGTACATAATGTCATACTATTTAAAATCAGTCACTAATTTGCAGATGAAATAGTGCAGCATGTGCTGCATTGAAACAAAAGGCCAAATAACACAGCTAAACCTGTTTTGTAGTTTTATCTTGATCACCCAGTTCTTTGTGAATACCAAAGTGTGCTTACACATCATCAATACCATTCAAGCAGCTTTGACCTTTGTTTGTTGTTGCACCACACAGAAATCATTGTATTTGTTATCTTCCAAAAATGATAAATGATTAAATGTCAGAAAGAAAGGCAGACTGCTGACCCTGAACAATACCTCGAAAGACCTGTATTACCAGCCATTGCCTGGTAAATAAATAGAAAAACAGTCAAAGTAGCCCCATGCAAAATTACATAGCTGCAAGATTGCAAAACAGCTCCATACATTATTCCAAAGCTATAATGTTCTGAAAAAGGAACCTCATACAGAATAGAACCAAGAAGGTAAATACTCCCATTTTAGGCCTGGAATCATTTAAAAAGATTGCAATCTGGTAAAACTAATTTGAATTACCATTGTGCGTATTGGTTACTTGAGACGGTCCTACACCTGTAATTTGTATCTCCACGATATGGCTCACTCCCACCTCCCAGAGTGTACTGGGTGGCCTCTGTAATCAATTCTCACTAATGTGTGCAAGAGCTTATCGCTAAGTATTTCTTGCTAATTGAAAATTAACAGAAAGCTCGAATGAGATACGGTTAAGAAAACTCAACGGTATTTTTCTTATGGTTCGTTTAGAATACAAAACTCCTCGGAAATAGTTCCCAAGTGATTTTGACAAACAGCAATGAATTATACAACCAAGAATTACACAAATAATGAATTAACTTCAACAAATACTCGCTTGCAGCCTATTAAATATGTGGTTAATGTACGTGCATTGAACCAACTCTTGACTCAGAGGGTTTGTATCTTTAGCTAGTCAAGACACGTACCTTTCTGATGTTATCAAGAAAAGGCGACCAAGAGCACATGGCGCTCATTGCTTTATGGGCATTGAGCCCTTCCCCAAATTAGGGTACCTAATGTAATTGTATTTCACCAATTACTTGATGTAACTTGTGTCTTTTTTATGGTCAATTCACATCCTCCCCTCAGTTGCCCAATAGGGGACAAGTACACTTCCAATCCTTCATTTACAAATTAGAATGATAAGTTACTCCGCCAAATTGTTGCAACCAACACCTTTAGAGACTTGACATTAAAAATGTATTTAAAGAAACATTACACAGAAAACTGATATGCGCATGCACTAGTTCTTTTCTGAACTTTTGGCGTTTGTACAGATTTACCCAAGCGCATTCGGGTCAGATAATAACCACATTTAAGCAACTAATGCTTTAAACTACATAATAGAAACACTAGTCACTTTCAACAGGCTAATGCTTCCGACGCATTCATTAAAGATAATAGAAAAGATAATTATTAAAGACAGGTTATGTAAAAGAGTGGGGTGACCGTGACATACTCAAATGGAATATTTCCTTTTAAATATTTTTGAAACAACAAAATGACATTTGTAATGCGCCTTTCGTGTCGGGAGGACGTTGCAAAGTCCTGGACAATCAAGGTTTCGGATCCGAGCTGAGGGTCGAGATTGGGGAGGGTGGAAGGCAGGGAGGTAAGGAGGGTGACCACAGGCACGGTCAAAGAAGAGGGTCATCAGAGAGGTCTTGAAGGAGGGAAGGGAGAGGGAGAGACGGAGGAACTGCGGGATGGAGTTCCACAGAGTGGGGGCAAGGTGACTGAAGGCCCACCCGTCAATGGTGGGGTGGGCAC